GGGTGAGCTCCCGCTGTTAGCCTCAGTTTCTGCCAACCTAACAGTTTGAAAGCATGTAAATGTGAGTAGATCAATAGGTTCCACTCTGGCGGGAAGGTAACGACGCTCCACGTAGTCATGCCAGCCACATGACCTTGGAAGTGTCAACGGACAGCACTGGCTCTTTGGCTTAGAAATGGAGATGAGCACCAACCCCCAGAGTCAGGCACAATTAGACTTAATGTCAGGGGCAAACCTTTACCTTTTTTACAGCAATTTACAAAGAAAAAGTATCTCCAAGGAGATTACACCCTAAATAAGATGCATGGGGTACATCTACACCATGGAATTATTGAAGTTTTACACCACGTTGACTGTCATAAATCAATACTATGGAATCAGGAAAGTTGCAATTTGTTGAGGCACCCACACTATTTGGCAGAGAAAACCCAGTCTTGTAAGACTATGAATCCCATGATTCCACAGCATTAAGTCATGGCAGTTAAAGCGATGTGAAATGGGCACTGATGCAGATGTACCCACAGTCTACCAGCTTTACTTTCTGTATTTAAACTATTAATATCTTTGCCCTTTAAAATATGTATTACTTCTTCCCACCATTTAGGAATCCCTAGGACAGACTCCACCAGAACTACTTCCCTTTCCTTTAAAATATGTATGACCTCTGGGCTCACAAACATAATATCAACAATAATAAATGAAGCAAGAGATTAAGCAGCCTCACCAACTGTTTACCTGGGAAATGATTATAAGCAATTTATATAAGTTACTTATTATTACAACATTATTATGAGTAATTGTAAGAGCAGCTTTGAGTTTCCTTTTGGAGAGAAAAAGCAGGGTATATAAATAAACACCATCATCATCATCACAACTTTGTTGAACTAGTCCTTCCAAACTGGAGGCCTTATTTCTTGTGAAGCACAATTCCTTTACAACAATGGAGTTTGTTCCTTAGTATATAGAAGTTGCACTTGGCCATGCCATTCTTTTAAAAGAAATAGTACTGTCAGCAGAACTGGGAGGTGGAGGCTCTCCTACTCTAAAATCTGCTTGTTATGCCTAAAACCATGCCAGTGGGGATCACTCAGTAATATGGAGCAGGAACCATTTCACTATTGGGGCATTCTCTTACTTCTTCCACAGGTGCATCTACACTGTAAATTTAATGCGGTTTGACACCACTTTAACTGCCATGGTTCAATACTATGGAATCACGAGAGCTGTAGTTTTACCAGGTCTTTAATCTTCTCTGAGAAATAGTGCTGGATCATCAACAAACTACACCTCCTACGATTCCATAGCATTGAACCCTGAAATTAAAGTGGCATCAAAGTGGTATAGTGTAGATCAATGGTTCCCAATTTTTGGGCCTCAAGGTGTTTTGGACTAACTCCCACAAATCCTAACAGCTGGTAAGATGGCTGGGATTTCTGGGAGTTGGGAGTCCAAAACACCTGGAGCCACAAAGGTTGGGAACCACTGGTGTAGATGCATCTCTCTTTAGGGGTTGGGAGTGGAATGGAATCTATGCTTTTAATTATCTCTTTGGAAAGCATCTTGGGGCCCTTCTTGACAGGCCTTATATTCCAGGATCTGATCCCAGGTTTTCTGTTTATCCCAGATTATTTTTTTCAAGTCACTTCTGACTTACACAAAAAAAATATATATCTGGCAGTGCCGACTCATATAACCCATCTTAAATAGAAAACTTGGGATCAGATCCTGGGATATAAGGTCTGTTTGGAAATGCCCTTAGAAAGAAATGGAATAAATCTACAGACACAGACCAATGTTGCAGGATAGTTCTCCAAGATCCATTTCAGAGACAGTAGCATACTTACTATTCATTCACATTGACCAGGTAGTTTTATTTCCTCAAAGCAAACCAAGCTCACAGAGTAGGAATTATGGGCTGGGCCAGACTCAATTGTACTTAAGAGTAGACCCAACTGGATCAATGGAGCGGATGTAATACTAACAAGTCTTGATTTCAAGGGAACTATGCTATATACAGTTAAGTCTACATCTACAGAAACACCCACACACCCCATCTGCTATTTTGTAAAACATCCACACTGGGGCAGGACTAGCCATCTGCACTGATAAATGATGAGCATGCCTTATATCTAGTCTTTAAAAAAAAGATCTCTAGCAGTCATAGATCAATAAAAATTGATCCAAGGGACCTATGTGAACAAATTGGAATTAATATTTAAAATAGTTTAGGAAAAGGCCAAGGAGAAATTATGCCTAATTTGAATTGAAGGAAGATTTAATTTAATCTCTCAGTAATACAGGAAATAGTATCCTTTCAGTGGTTCAAACTTATAGTAGGACTTCCTGGAAGAGTGCTTAATAAAAGAGAAATAATCTGCCCCTCTTTGCATTCAAACTACAATATACAATGGATGGACCACTAAGCCAGCAGACTCTATTGAGTCCCCTTTGGGGAGATGGTGGTGGGTTATAAATAAAGTTTATTATTATTATTATTATAGATATGTGTTAATCCAGAATTTTAACAATTCAGAGAACACATTGAAAAACAGCAGGCATAGAGGGTCTTATATTTGATATGACTTAATGAACACACCCTGATGGTGCAGCGGGTTAAACTACTGAGCTGAACTTGCTGACCGAAAGGTTCAAATCCAGGAAATAGGGTGAGCTCCTGTTGTTAGACCCAACTTCTGCCAACCTAGGAGTTTGAAAACATGAAAATGTGAGTAGGTACCGCTTCTGCAGGAAGGTAACGGCCGCATGACCTTGGAGGCGTCTACGGACAACGCTGGCTTTTTGGCTTAGAAATTGAGATGAGCAACACCCCTCAAGTTGGACACAAATAGGCTTAATGTCAAGGGGAAACCTTTACCTTCACTTAATGAATGTAATGGTAATTTATGGAATTATTTAAGGGACTCAAAACAAGGAGATTCACTTGTTCACCGCTATTTATTATTTTTGAATGATACCTTAGAGAAGGTATCGTCCCCTCCATTTTTAAAACCCACTTTTAAAATAAGAGCAAATACAACCTCTCCTTCCTAATGGTGTCAAAACATATGGAAGGTGACCAAAACACTCATCTCTAACCCTTCCAAATATGACCCACTCCTGTAAGTGGCAGAGATTACATTTCTGAGATTGTTTGATTGAAAGACGGTTGAAAGAAAGGCCGACAGACTTCAAAGTAGCGACAACTACAAAAGATCAGATATCATACCACTATTGAGAAATCAATGTATATCAAGTTGAGGACACAGAAGGTTACAACTCAGGAACAGAAATCCCACCTTCTCATTTACATAGAAAATTGACCTGCATAAACTGTCAATTAAAAAGGATCTAAAGCAGTGGTTCCCAACCTGTGGGTCCCCAGGAGTTTTGGGCCTACAACTCCCAGAAATCTCAACCAGTTTACCAACTGTTAGGATTTCTGGGAGTTGAAGGCCAAAACATCTGGGGACCCACAGGTTGAGAAAGGCATTTTGGCGATGAATGCAGTTTGACACCACTTTGACTGCCACCACTCAATGCAATGGAATCATGGGATTTGTAGTTTGGTGAGGCAGCAGCACTCTTTGACAGAGAAGGCTAAAGACCTTGTAAAACTGCAGCTCCCAGGGATCTATAGCATTGAGCCATAGTCAAAGTGCATTAATCCTACAGTGTAGATCACACATGGGCAAACCTGTGCCCTGCAGGTGTTTTGGACTGCAACTCCCACCATTCCTAACAGCCTCAGGCGCTTAAGCGGCTGAGGGGAAAAAGGAAAGGGCCCGAGGCTGTTAGGAATGGTGGGAGTTGCAGTCCAAAACACCTGCAGGGCACAAGTTTGCCTACACTTGGTATAGATGGACCTGATGGTAGTGAAAGCAATTTCTCACTGACCCAATACAGGAGAAGACACAAAATTAATCTCACATTCCCTAAAAACTTGTTTACACCCAGGACTTTGCTCTATTTGACTATATCATTAAAAGGCTGAAGTTTCCAGACAGACTAACACTGTCAGAATTAGCAATGCCTTCAAGTAAGCAGAGGGTTAATAACACGAGCATCCTTTTGTAAGTGGATCTGCAGATTACCTCTAGATATATATACAGAGGGTAAAGAAAGAGGGTAAACAGAGATAATTCATGAAAGTTCCTGCATCACAATGTGAAACACACACACACACAAATTGCAGAAGGAAACAACAACCATTAAAATCCCTTGAGAGGGGAGGAAAATAATAATCTAGGGTGACAACTGAAAGAGGAAATTTATCCTTTGGATATGGCTGCAGAGTCCAAGCTTTAATCTCAGGTTTAAGCACAATGGGGGGAAAAGAAGGTGGAGTGAGTGGGAAACAAAAGCTGCGTTTCCAAATCAGACCAGGCACAAAAAAATAAAATAGAAAATAAAGAGAGGGCTTCACTAGGCCAACCTAACCCATTTCCCATTCCCAGCCTTTGCAGGGAGGCAATTTCCTTCCTTGTGGGATTGGCTTTTGTTCTGCCCTTAAGGCTGCTTTTCATTTTCAAGGGGAAAGAAGAGAGTGGCAAGATCACTTTCTTCACCCCATTTGTCTCCCATTGTGCTTGCATTTCAGATCCAAGAGGAGGCAAAAGAGAAAGCTGGGATCCAAGGGATCAACTGGATCACCAGATCCTTGGCTCGACGGGATCCCTTCCCTGCTCAGCTGGATCCCTTGTATCACCAGATCCTTTTGGCTCGACAGGATCCCTTTCCTGCTCAGCTGGATCCCTTGGATCACCAGATCCTTTTGGCTCGACAGGATCCCTTTCCTGCTCAACTGGATCTCTTGAATCACCAGCTCCTTTTGGCTCGACAGGATCCCTTTTCATGCTCAACTGTATCTCTTGGATCACCAGATCCCTTGAATCACCAGATCCCAGCTCCATCGTTGCAAACAATGCTCCCTGCTTCTCCCTCTCCCTCCTCCTCCTCCCTCTCTCCCCCCTCCCCCTTTGCAAATTCCTAGACAAATTTACCTTCTGGGGCTAAACCGGGAAGACGGTGCCAATCTACTTGTACCCCAGCACACCCCGGAAGAGGCATTCAGACGAGCAGGGAGCAACACCCGTGTCTAGCCCCTGCCCCTGTTGCTGCTGCTGCTGCAATGCATGGCTGATGCTCTCCTCCGCCCCTCTGTTGCTGCAGCTTGGTAAGAATGGAAAAGCTCCTGCGCAGGCGCACTCGGAAGGCTTGGCGAGGGGAGGGAAAGCGGGCCGGTGTCGGGCATGCGCAGTAGAACAAAGTCGACCCTAACCCCAGAGCATGCGCTTCTGCCTTTCCAAAGCGTTCGGGGATCCCTCACGCATGCGCCGTTTAGGGTCTTCTCGGCCGGCCTTGCGCCCCACGTCAATCATAGAGGTCTAGGAAAGGCTAGAAGGAACTATCTCTATGGTGACGGGGATGGGACCAGAATAAGGCGAAGAGTGTCTGGAGAGATGAGGTCAGCCTGTGTAGTACGCATGCGTCGGGGAAGTAGTGATGACGTATGCTCATTCAAACGACTGCTGCATTCCGTGATTAATATTCATAAAAGCGCGGCGAGGAGCACGAGGAGGCGCGAGAGGCCGAGAGGGTGTCTTTCCGGGGTTAAAGGTCCCATTTTGAAACAGTGATGGGAAGGGGCGGGACTGGGCTCTTGTGGCCTGCTCTGGGGAGCTACGCGTGTCATGGCCTGGCCCTGGAGGTTGTGGCTGGAAGGAAGGAAGGAAGGAAGGAAGGGTGGGTGGGTTCCTCTACACCGTAGGAGCCATGGCAACTAAAGTGGGATCGAACTGCATTAATTCTACAGTGTACGCACACCTCTCATCTCCTTCCCTTGACCTGCAAATTAGCTATTTCCTGATACCATTGTATTTACATTCCGACTTTCCCCACACATTTCAAGGAATGTGTGCAGATTTATTTATTTATCGTGTCAGAAGCTAACTGAGAATGCAGTTATAATGTATACAAAAAAACCCGACAAAGTTAAAAACTTGGCATTATACTAAATGTCCTTGGACCAGAAGCTGGCCAGAAGTGACTTGCAGTTTCTCAAGTCATTCCTGACACGAAACAAAAAAAAACTAGCTGGCCACTTGGAGTGCCCCTGGTGCATCCAGAGAGCACTGTGGACTCAAACAATGCAGGATCTGGACCAAACTTGACATGAATACTCAATATGCCCAAAGGTGAACCCTGGTGGAGTTTGGGGGAAATAGACCTTGACATTTGGGAGTTGTAGTTGCTGGGATTTATAGTTCATCTACGATCAAAGAGCATTCTGAACCCCACCAACGATAGAATTGTGCCAAACTTCCCACATAAAATCCCCATGTCTTGAAGTGACTCGCTGATGCAAGTCTCCCTCCAGCCTCACATGCTCTCCCTCACCCCCACATTTGTACCACACTGTCATGCGCCAAGCATGACAGCCCTCCCCTTGGCTGAGGGGAGGGGGGCTTTTGGTGGGAAGATTCTCTGTTTCCAAAAAGAAAGAGAAGGACAGGTGGAGATATCTCCAGCTTTTTCTGCCAAGGGCGTTCCTAAGACCATCAGAAATAGATGCTTTCTGATGTTCCTTGGTGACTCCTCTGAAACCTCCTCACAACCCCCCAGGAGTACCGACCCCCAGGTTGAGAAACGCTGACCCAAAGCTTCAGAGAGCTTCTGTTCAAACATTTCAAATCTCCCTGCTTGAGTGGTGATGGCATGGTCGTCATCATAGATTAAACTCTCTGGGGACCCATAGGTTGAGATGCACTGATTTAATGCATTCCACTTAAAAATTAAGCAAAAACATCCTAATGGTAAGTGATTTTGTAGGCATGTTCCAGTTCAAAGAGAGAAGAAGAAAAGGAAAATATGCAATTAAATATTTTACGACTTCTTTATTAGAAAATTAGAGGCATAAACATGGACAAGAAAAAGCTTTATTTCAGCCAACAAACCATTAGGCAACGCATAAAACACAGTTATATATATTTCTACACCACCATTTGAAATGGGACAAGAGAGAAGCCTCCCCACAGGATTGTCGTAACACATCCGAGCATCCCCTTGGCAACGTCTTCATAGACAGCTGATTATCTCACACTATAAACAACTTGCAGCGTATAACCAACAAAACAAACATTTGCTCCTGACATAAATAAAATAACAATTTGAAATATAAAATGTTGTTTAATAGGCATATTATTACAAAATGATGCAATAGTAAAAACAGAATGAAATATTTTGGCATTTCAGTAGAAGAAATAAATGATTTCTAATATCCCAATGTATTATTATCCTGCCATCTCATAAATGATATCAAGGTGTTGATTATAACTGTAGAAACTGGAAAATGTAATAGCATCTTTTAGTTTTTATTTTAGCAGGAGCTTTCATGGATAGAAACCCAAATCTTCAGATTCAAGTACAGTGTGATGTCACTTAGTTCTGAAGGTAAATTAAATCTTCTTTAACTCATAATGTGAACAAACTCTATAAATTTTTGTATGACATTTTCCCCGACTGGTGATTTTCCCCACTCTTTTTCACGTTGCCTCTGGCTGTTTTTCAGCATTTCTTGCCTCTCTCCTGCACAAATGCTCATTCTCTTCATTATTTACTGAAGAGAATGAGCATTTGTTTTTAGAAAAGCAAACTTTTATTTTTAGAAAAGCAAACAGTTCAAAACATCACACGGCTAGCAAAATGTCAGTTAGATAAGCAAAAAACAACATCAGTAAGGGTGGCAATGCTTAATGCCATATCTCAACACATTTGCTCCATATGGAAGAGTTCAATTATTATTATTTGATATATTTACATGCATTTTGCTGTTGGTTTTGTTGATTACTTTTCCACAAGGAAGCAGGCTGGCAACAAGTTCATATTTGAATATAATGTGGCCACTGACGATAAAAGCCCTGTGGTTGCACCTATTGAGTCAGTGATCCATCCATTTTGAAATATTTTTGAAGTTAAACGATGAACTATAGGACAAAGCAACCATTACAAGGGTAAGCAAAACCTTAATGTCCAGATTCGTGTTCTGCAAAATGATTTTGAAAAGAGGAGGTTCCAGGAAATACCGGGCTTATTAATAGCCCTTTGGCTTCTGGAAAATGGTCTCACTGAGCTAGAGAAATCACTTAATTGGTCATTATGGAGGTAAAATGTTTTTAAAGGGGCAACTACTGAAATTGATAGGTCATATCTAAATTTGTTTGCAGCATTTCGAATAATAGATTTTCTTCATTATTCATCTGGAAAGGCGGGAGTAAACTTTGTCTTTTCTTTATTACAAGTATGAAGCACACATACTTCTGTGTATATATTTTCTTAGAAGTTGTGTCCTTATGAATTTCCTAAGATTTTCGTATGCCAAGAATAATCAGAAGTGGTTTTCTAAGTCCCTTCCTCTGAAATATGACTTACAGCACCTTAGGCAGTGGTTCTCGACCTGTGGGTCTAGCAATTTTGACCTGCTTGTCAAAACCACACATCCCATTTTCAAAGGCAGAGTTACATTTTTTGAACTGCAACTCTACAAGCCTCATAGCAAGCGTAGCTATGCTATCTGGGGTATTTGGAAGCTGTAGTCTAATAACAAGAAGTACAAGAAGAAGAAGAAGAAGAAGAAGAAGTAGTAGTAGTAGTAGTAGTCGTCAAACTACTCTGGGACTTCCGAATTCAGACAGACAGAGTGCTGGAGCACAATACTCCTGACCTCACGATCGTGTTAAAAAACAAAGTATGGATCATTGATGTTGCAATCCCAGGTGACAGCACGATTGAAGAGAAACAACTGGAAAAGCTGACACAATATGAGGATTTAAAGATCTAACTGCAAAGACTCTGGCACAAGCCAGTAAAAGTGGTCCCAGTGGTGATCAGCACACTGGGTGCAGTGCCTAAAGACCTTGGCCTGCACTTAAACACAATTGGCACTGACAAAATTACTATCTGCCAGCTGCAAAAGGCCACCTTATTGGGATCTTCACACATTATTCACCAATACATCACACAGTCCTAGACATTTGGGAAGTGTCCGACGTGTGATCTGATGCAACAGCCAGCAGTTATCTTGTTTGCTATGGACTTACCTTGTGTTTCTAATAATAATAATAATAATAATAATAATAATAATAATAATAATAGTGTGGTTTTCTGGTGTTGTATATTCCTGCCGCTTTTGTGACTGTTCATTTGTACTTTGATTCTGTAGCCCACTTGTCGATGGATATCCAGAATCAGCAGCATCCATTGCAGCCCTTTTTATCCTGGGCAATGACCGAGCCAGTATAGACTTCGTTTTGGTTTGTTTCTCCATAGTGCTAATGGGTTAGGTGCAATGACCGTCATGCATTTTGGTGAACAGTGAGGGAAAAAATAAGACTCTAGTTACTGAAAAAAAAATCTTCATGTGCATGGAATCCCATGCAGGTTTAGAGACACCTATTGACACATTTCTGTGTGGCAGTTAACTATTTCTAAAGATACATATTGTGGAGTATTTGCAATTTCTGTGCATGGCTGTCAAAGCTAGATAGTGAGGAAAGCTGATGGGACACACATCTACTCACTTGAAATGTGTTAGAGAAAAGACCTTAAGATACCATGAACTGCTAAAAGGAGAAATGAATAAGTTTGAAACAGAAGAATCCTGAATTATTTCTAGATGCTAGAATTCCCAAATTGAGACTGTTGTATTTTAGATTTGTATTTTAGATTTGTATTTTAGATCATGAGGTGACATGTTTAATTAGAAAAGTCAATGTTTGGTAATGTAGGGGGCAGTAGGAAGAGAAGAAGACTGCATTACAGATGGATAGACTCAATGAAGGAAGCCATGGCGCTGAGTCTGAAGGACCAGAGCAGGACTTGGAATCCTCTTGTTCACACAATCCAAAGTCAACTTGATGTCAGTAAACAGCAAAGTATTTGGAAATGGCAGCAGGGCCCCTGGAATTGCAGGCTACACAAAGCAATAATCTCTGGACTAGTGTTAGTCCCTGAGAGCACAGATTCCTGCCAAGTTTCCAGGAAATTAAAAAAATGCATCCAATGAGCACAAATATGATGCTAGTTCCTTACATAGTGGAAAGAGATTATTCCCCACATCAGATTGTGTGGGAAGCCCAGTTGTAAGTAACGTTCCTCTATTTTCCATACCAGCCTAGAGATATACCAGGAAAAAAGTGGGGT